CGCGGCGGCCAGCGGCAGCAGCAGCAGGGACTAGAGCACCCAGCCCCCACAATGCACTGCGCCCCTCCCCACCCTCCCACAATGCACTGGGGCTCTCACTCCCCATTAGTCCGCCCACTGTACCGCCGCCCTCCCCAGCCCCGACCCTTCCCACAATGCACCGCGCCCCGCCCCCACAGTGCACTGCGGTTTTTACCCCTTCCCCTCTGTCCCTGGGCTGCTCTGCCGCCCCGCATTGCACTGCCACCCTCACCCAGCCCCGTGCACTGCAGCCCCGCATTGCACTGCCACCCTCACCCAGCCCCGTGCACTGCAGCCCCGCATTGCACTGCCACCCTCACCCAGCCCCGTGCACTGCAGCCCCGCATTGCACTGCCACCCTCACCCAGCCCCGTGCACTGCAGCCCCGCATTGCACTGCCACCCTCACCCAGCCCCGTGCACTGCAGCCCCGCATTGCACTGCCACCCTCACCCAGCCCCATGCACTGCAGCCCTCATTGCACTGCCACCCTCACCCAGCCCCATGCACTGCAGCCCTCATTGCACTGCCACCCTCACCCAGCCCCATGCACTGCAGCCCTCATTGCACTGCCACCCTCACCCAGCCCCATGCACTGCAGCCCTCATTGCACTGCCACCCTCACCCAGCCCCATGCACTGCAGCCCTCATTGCACTGCCACCCTCACCCAGCCCCATGCACTGCAGCCCTCATTGCACTGCCACCCTCACCCAGCCCCATGCACTGCAGCCCTCATTGCACTGCCACCCTCACCCAGCCCCATGCACTGCAGCCCTCATTGCACTGCCACCCTCACCCAGCCCCATGCACTGCAGCCCTCATTGCACTGCCACCCTCACCCAGCCCCATGCACTGCAGCCCTCATTGCACTGCCACCCTCACCCAGCCCCATGCACTGCAGCCCTCATTGCACTGCCACCCTCACCCAGCCCCATGCACTGCAGCCCTCATTGCACTGCCACCCTCACCCAGCCCCATGCACTGCAGCCCTCATTGCACTGCCACCCTCACCCAGCCCCATGCACTGCAGCCCTCATTGCACTGCCACCCTCACCCAGCCCCATGCACTGCAGCCCTCATTGCACTGCCACCCTCACCCAGCCCCATGCACTGCAGCCCTCATTGCACTGCCACCCTCACCCAGCCCCATGCACTGCAGCCCTCATTGCACTGCCACCCTCACCCAGCCCCATGCACTGCAGCCCCGCATTGCACTGCCACCCTCACCCAGCCCCATGCACTGCCACCCTCACCCAGCCCCAGTGCACTGCAGCCCTCACCTCCTGCTTGCCTTACACCTGTCATCCATCTCCCTGGCTTCCACAATGCACTGCAGCCCCTCACACTAGGCTAATAGCAAGGTGTGGGGGGCTGTAGGGATTGTCCACAGAGGACAGAGGTTTTACCTTCCCTGTCCAGTAAGAGGGGCCAGTCCTAGTTTGGATGGAGCACCATACGGGGGTAACAGTGGGCGTCCTTGCATTGCTATCCCTAAACAGCAGCTATAGCCTCTTTGGACTGGCTGGCTACATCCACATGTGCACTGTCTCAGTCCAGTCACATCTGGATAAGATGCTGGCCTATTACCATAGAGAGAGTGGAACTAGCAGACAGAAAGCTGCTTCTCCCAGTCCAGCTTTGGGGCCGTTGCCAGAACCTCAATATAGTGCTTGGCCCATGCCTAGAAAGTTCTGGGCAGTGTGGGAGGGTGTGACTACAAAGCAGGGGTGGGCAATAATTTTTAAATATGGGCCACTTCAAAAATTTTCAGAGTGGTCCTGGGCTGCCCCAAAAGGGGTGTGGCATCGGGCAGAAAGGTGGGCTTTAAATAGCAGGCGTTGAAAGGGCTTGTGCCTCCCCTGCAGCTCCCAGGCATCATGTTAGTGGGGGATGGAAGCTGCAAGCCCTTTCAATTCCTGCTATTTAAAGGGCTCACTGCTCTCAGCCTTGCTGCTAGCCCATTGCCTGGGAGCCAGGACGTGAGCCATTTCAACTGCTTCTATTTAAAGGGCTTGTGCTTTCCTGGGGCTGTTGCCTGACAGCAACGGGGCAGGCACAAGTCCTTTCAATAGAAGCAGTTGAAAGGGTTTGAGTCCCTGGCTCCTAGGCAACACGCTAGCCAGGAGCTGCAAGCCCTTCCAATTGCTTCTATTTAAAGGACTTGCATCTGCAGGATTGCTGCCAGGTAACGCAGCTACTCAGCCTGCATGAGCCCTTTAAACAGAAAGGCTGCGTCTAGACTGGCATGATTTTGCGGAAATACTTTTAACGGAAAAACTTTTCCGTTAAAAGTATTTCCGCAAAATCATGCCAGTCTAGACGCAGCCTTTCTGTTTAAAGGGCTCATGCAGGCTGAGTAGCTGCGTTACCTGGCAGCAATCCTGCAGATGCAAGTCCTTTAAATAGAAGCAATTGGAAGGGCTTGCAGCTCCTGGTGCCACTAGGTATTGCCAGGGAGCTGGGACATGCTTTTAACTGCTTCTGTTGAAAGAGCTCATGCGGGCTGAGTAGCTGTGTTGCCCTGCAGGTGCGGGGAAGGTATAAGTCCTTTAAATAGAAGCAATTGGAAGGGCTTGCAGCTCCTGGTGCCACTAGGTATTGCCAGGGAGCTGGGACATGCTTTTAACTGCTTCTGTTGAAAGAGCTCATGCGGGCTGAGTAGCTGTGTTGCCCTGCAGGTGCGGGGAAGGCATAAGTCCTTTAAATAGAAGCAGTTAAAAAGGATCATGTGCTCCGGCTCCTAGGCAATGCACTGGGGGCAGGGTCTAGAACTGCTGTGTGGGCCGGATCCGGCCCGCAGAGGGGCTTTTGCCACTCCTGCTATAGAGCAAGCACACTGCCATGCTGGGAACACGCTGCTAAGGACCCATGGGAAAGGTCCAAAGACAGTTCTTTTGCGGAAGAGTTCTTGTGCAAAAACTCTTCCAGAAGAGAGCGTCTACATTGGCATATGCCTTTGCGCAAGAGCATCCGTGCCAGTGTAGACGCTCTCTTGCGCAAGAAAGCTCTGATGGCCATTTTAACCATAGGGCTTTCTTGTGCAAGAAATTCATGTTGCCTGTCTACACTGGCCTCTTGCGCAAGAGAGCTTAGTCCTGAGCGGGAGCATCATAGTTCTTGCGCAAGAAGCACTGATTTCACACATTAGCATATCAGTGTTCTTGCGCAAGAACTCCCTGCCAGTATAGACAGGCAGCATGTTTTTGCGCAAAAGCAGCCGCTTTGGTGCAAGATCGTGCCAATGTAGACACAGCCTTGGGATTTAGAGAATGGCATAAAGCGTGAGGGCATAAAACTGGCCTAAAACTTGCTGGTTTGTAACCTCTCCTTGTCTAGAGAATACAAGCAGTAGGGGCTGGACAGGTATGGGATGAAGTGAGGAAAACATATATATTCTCTATGGCCTGGTCTATGCTATTAAGTTAGGTTGTCAGAAGATGCCTTGTGCATGCATCTATGGTCCAATATGTCCCCCACCAACATTTGTGCTCCATTATGGTGACCAGACAACCCATGTCCCCAGTGTGGCACTGACCTGCACAGGCCGACACAATGCGAACATACATCCAACATGGCACACGCTGATCCCAACAGTCCTTCAACAGCTGCTCCACCATGTTACGTTCCTGTGACAGTGACTGCTCTGCTCACAACTACAGACTCCCCTGCCCAGGACCCAGACTCTCAGAGTCCAGAAGCCACCCACTCCCCCCACCACCCCCTGGTTTTGAAATGCCTTTTCCTGATTGCCCAGCTTGGTAAGCATTCTTCTCAGCTCACCTTCATGCCAGGGTCGAATTAAGCAGCTTCCCAGTATCTCCTCTCTGCTCCAGGAGGAGTACACTCTTGACCCTGTGGCAAGAAAAGACTACAAACACAGCTACAGAATAAGTGTAGAAACATGGACATCTCCACTCAGCTTGCAAAAGGGATGCAAACACAGGGGTAGGACAGGGCTCAACAGCAGTGCCACATGAAAGCAAAGGAATTTCACCAGGAATACCACAAGACGAGTGTGGCCAACAGTCAATCTAGTGCTGTGTTGCAGACCTGCCACATCTTTAGGGAACCATGGTGATGATCCCAGCTGCTTGCTGTTAGTTACTTTGGAGGAGCCCAAGACAGAGTCCTATTAAAAGAGCAAGGAGAAGTGGGAGACACAGCAAAAGATTCCAGCCATGCTGTAAGCCAGGACCACAGTCTAGCAACCCAATATTTATAGACTGAGACAAACAACTCTCATACCACCTTACATGGTTCATGATATCTGCTTGTCACCTCCCCTTGCATCATGCTCCCAGTGCCTGGGACAAAACATCCTGTTTGGTGTTATCTCAGATGGCCTTGGACTAATCCTCTGGTGTGTGTTTTCACACATCCTCACTATCTGTCACTTCTTCGGGGTGCCTGTGATTTAGCAACACAAGCAGTATTTTTGCCAAGGTCATACAGCAAACTTGCAAACAGCTACTTTAACACATGGCCTCATTTTGATTGATAGTTTCACAGGCCTCAACATCTCAAACCGGGCCCAGTAGTTCAGGCCCTCGCTCTCCTATAGGTTGGTGCCCCAGGATCACCATTAGCATTTCAGCATTAATCTGCATGTCAGGAAAGAGGATGCCTGCTTGCAGCTTTCTGCCCAGCCCTGTGTTTTTAAGACATGCACGTCGTGCACTTTCCCTGACCAGTCCACGGAGATGTCAGTGAAGCATCCCCAGTGATCCCCAATAGTTGAACAATCATCAAAAAGCCCTTTCTGTTGATATCCTTTGGGACAAGATGGACTGTCACCAACAGAAATGTGCATGTTGTCTATTGCCCCACTGCTGTAAATCCATCCTCTGTGCCTTGCACACTACTGAGAGTCATAGGCCGGTGCAGCAGGAGACAAGCAACAGCCTTACATACTTTCATGACAGTGATGGCATGGCACCTACATCCCATCATGGCTGGGTATGTCTGCAGTCTTTAAACAGTCGCTGCCCTTGTAGCTTGAAGGACTCCTCTACTGCTTTTATTGGAATGGGCATGGCAGGACCCTGAGGCTTCCACCAATGTTCCTTCTAAATTTTTCCATCCATGTGAAGAATCAATTTTTGTATATGCACCAAGGCATGTGCGGATGTGCACCACCAGTAGAAACACATGCTGCCAGCTGTGGGCACTCTGCTGATCAGTGGGGAGGCATTATAATGTCCCCTGGGTGGCTGACCAAGTGTTCACCTTACAGGGAACACTGACCTCCATCCCATCACACCCTCAGAATGGATTTTCCAACTCCAGAATGATTTCCCATGGATGACTCCAGCTCCTCCATTGTCAGTGCAGCTCTACTCTGGTGTAACGGCACTCAAAGGCTGGGGCCAGCTCAGCCCCTAGATCCAGGAGCGTGGCCTGTCACACCGGAAAGCTCTGCAGCCACTGCATATTGTCCCAGCCTGCCTGATGATGCGATGCCACCAGTCAGTGCTCATTTCATTAATGTCACAATCTTGAATTGTTATGTCCCCCAGCAGACTGCCCTTGAGGAAATCTCACAACCTGCAAGTCTGCACACACAGGAGAATTGCATGTCCTGGGTTTGCAACGTTTGTGAGAACAGTGCAGAACACTGCAGGCTCCAGGTTTGTCACAGGGTGCAGACACAGAAGAGTGCCCAAAGGTTTGGGGATTTTTTTTAAAAAAAGATGAGATACAGATGCCATTATGAGAAGGAGAAAGTTGCAGGTTGGGAACTTGACCCCCTCATTCCCAGATCCCTGCCAAGACATACCTGTTCCACGATACATTGTGAAAATTTCCCAAAAGGCATTGTGCTGGACAGTATTGCATGCCACAGTGAGATAGCTGCCCATGGTGCAGCATCACACTGTGCAGCGACAAGCACTCTTGGGGTGCGTCAACACTGCAGCTGTAGCTTGAAATAAGCTACGGAATTTGAGCTACACAAATTGCGTAGCTTATTTCGAGTCAAATTTCAAAATAGCTTATTTGCCTACACAGCGCCAATTTTTAAATAACCCGCTATTCTGAAACGTCCCTTACTCCTCGTGGAATGAGGTTTGCAGAGACGTCAGAAGAGCGAGCTGGTTATATTTCAAAACAACGGGCTTGCTGTTAAGATGTGGGATACTCCCGTATCCTGAAATAGTGCTGCAGTGTAAACGTAGAAGCACGTGCAGCACCAACACTATTGGCCAAGTACACACGTGCCAGAGTGCTATACAAACTTCAGCACTCTCCTTGACAGCCTGGGGCACAGAATAGACTTGGAACAACTCGGCACAGAGCTCGCCTGATCAATTCCCTGCCACCACCCTTCAGTCGCTCCTCCCTGCCTGTGACACACAGTAGGACTGAAATGTTTTCATCTGACTCAAGTCCCTGGGATCAGTCCCAGTTGTCTAGGTGCAGGGTAACTCCCTGGTCAGGCTGGCCAGAGCAGATGAGCTTCCATCTGGGCTTCAACTGTACAAACTATGTACACCGTATCAAGAACCCGTCTCCAGCCTGTTCTTCCCCTGCCAGCCAATCCAGCCAGCCATGGACTCAACCTCTTAGCATAAGCCTTGTACAGATCAATTCCAACGGGTTCCTGCCGTCCTTTCCGGTTACATCAGTGGTTCCCAACCTTCTTTATAACCATTTAGCAAACCCATTCACAAACTTTTGGCAGACTGGTAATATTTTATTTGCATATTCTTTATGTTAATAATGCATATGCAAACATGGAAATAAAATGTTACTGGTCTGCCAAAATATGTACCCCAGCCAGGGCTGGCCTTAGGGAATATAGTGCCCTGGGCAAACTTGTATGTCGGCACCCCTGCTCCCCCACCCTGGGCATGGTGCCCCCCATTTCCCTTGGCTGCCATGGGCTCCCATACCCCTGGATTCTGTGCCCCCTTTGCCATTAACTCTAAGTTCTACACTGTTCCCCTACCCCCAACATTTTGTCACCGTCACTCCAACCCCTGCACTTCCCTCCCTCCTGCGCCCCCAGCTCCAGCCCTGCGTTGCCAGCGTGCCCACACTGCCTCCCTGCCCAGTATCACCCACCTGAGGCACTTCACTCCTCTGGCGCTCCAGCCCTACTGCGGGAAGGACAGGAAGGACTGAGTTCAGGGGTTCCCATAGACCAGATTTACTCTTCTGGGGTTCCAGGGTTAGTGGATTTTGTGGACCCTCTAGGCTCTGGGGTTGGGACAAAAATGGGGGGTTCAGCATGCGGGACAGGACTGCCAGTGAGAGGAATGGGAGTACAGGAGGGGGGGTGGGTCTGAGGTCTGGATGGGAAGAAAGATGCAGAAGCAGGCTGAGAGTAGGGTGTCCAGCCGGGGGGAGGGTGCAGGAGCACAGGAAGGTGCAGTGTGTGGTCAGAAGGAAGGGTGCAGGAGCAAGAGTGGGTTCAGGAGCAGGCTGGGGGTAAGGTGTCTGGCCAGGGGAAGGGTGCAGGAGTGGGAGCGGGCTGGGGGGAGGGTGCAGGAGCAGACTGGGGTTGCAGGGTCTCAGCAGTGTGGTGGTACCTGAGCGGGCTGTGCGTGTGGGGGTCTGGGCATGAGCAGGTGGGGGGCACTTACTTGCCTTCGTTCCCCATGCCAGTCACAGACACAGCCTCCACTGCTCCCATTGACTGGTTTCTGTTGGAGCGCCGGCACTGGCTTCCTGCTGGTGGGGGCGGGGGGAGAGAGAAAGCCCCGAGCCTTGCTGCATGGTCCCGTTCATGGGGAAGAAACACTCCCCCTCCCCTTCCCCCTGGTTGGGGGAACAGCAGCACAGCAGCTGGGAGTGGGGGAGCACTTCTTCCCCACAGCAAGACTTGGGGCTTTCTTCCCAGTGGGAAGCCAGCATGGCACTGCAGCCTGCCCCCCCCCCCCACCCCAAATGGAGCACCAGAGCTGGCTTCCTGCTGTGGAGGAGGGGGAGAGAAAGCCCTGAGCCTCGCTGCCGGTTCCCCCAGCCAGGAGAGGGGGAGGGGCAACGTTTCTTCCCTGGGAGCTGTATCACGCACTGACGCACTGGGGCTCCAACCGCACGGGCGAGGGGGGGGCAAGGCTGCAGTGCCCTGGGCCTGGGCCCCTATTGCCCGACCCTAAGGCTCTGCCCCCAGAGCTGCTGTGAACAGACGGCTTCAGCTCTGGCACCCGCCGCAGCCTGGCAGCCAGTGGTTTGCGTGGACCAGCGGTTGGGAACTGCTGGGTCACAGGAGAGGATCAGGGGGAGCCTGAGTTCCATCCCCAGCTCTGGGAGGGGTGTGGAGTCTAGTGGTTATGGGGGCGGAGGCTGGGACTCTGGGTTATCTAGTGGGCTGGGGGGCACTGGGACAGCTGAGCTTGGGCAACGACTGAGCAGTACTTGCGGATCGGGGGCAGGGTCACACTGACCTGCTCCCATCCATCCCCTCTCTGGCAAATAGGGGTCTCTCATTACCCTTCCTGGCCACACATGGAGCAGACCCTGTGGGCAGGGGCCACCCCCCTCAAGGGCCACCCTCGACTTTTTGGCAGGAGCAGACCAGGAAGGAATCAAGAAGGAATCAAGGCTCTCACCAAGGCGGTCAGCTGGGGAGACAGAGCTGGCCTGGGCTCGGGGCTGACCACAATGGGCTCTTCTTGAACCTCCAGGTCTCTGAGCTACAGATGGCCTGGGCTGCGTGTTGCTGATGTTCACGATGCTGCCCAGCATCGCTGTCAATCTTGGCTGAGGTGCGCTGCCCCTGCAGAGGGAACCCGTCTCTCCCAGGAGTCTGTCTGCCTTGGACTCACTGCGGGGGCAGGGCTCTGAGGGCCAGGCAGGGAGCCCTCTCTCTCCTCAAATTGCCCCATGCCACAAACAGCACCTTCCAAATGGCATTTTATTGATGGGAAGCTTATAAAGTGTCACTTCCAATCAGAGCCCCCTCCCCCGCCCACCCAAGCACCTCCAGGCCCCTTCTCACTGCCCCAAGACCATGCGCCCTCAGCCTTGTGCCATGGGGATTTTCCCATCCCACGCACCCCCCCCAGCCCCACCCACTGGACCTGCTGGCAGGCAGGTCTCACCTCTCCACCCCAGGCAATTCCTGCTCTCCACTGCCACAGCAGCTCTGTGGGAGCAGCCCTGAGGCTGTCAGTCCACAGGGCACCCTGGGGCCAAGAGGTGGCTGGTCCTTTTAGTGCCTGACAGGGGGTGCAGCCACCCAGCGCAAACAAACTCCGGTTAGGGCAGCCGCCCAGTGCTAGGTGTCCTGCCCCTCACTGCCCGAAGGGGAGTGCAGCAAGCCAGGGTCATACAGGGGCTGCCCAGTCCAGAGGCGGGTGGCAAAGAGGTGGCGGCAGGGCCGGCGGCTGGAGACGTAGATGGAGCAGGAGCAGGTGGCCAGGTCGCGGCTCACCAGGAAGGAGCAGATGCCGCCATCCAGCAGGAAGCCCTCTGGCACCTCCTTGACATGGTAGTTGGCGTGCTTGGCCAGGCCCAGCTCCTCAGCGATGAGCGCGGCGCTGTCGGGCGGGCACACGGCGCGGTACAGCTCCGACACCCGCTCCTCATTGAGCGCCGCCATCTCCACCCGCAGCGCCTGCAGCTCCAGCAGCCCCCGCACACAGGCCGCCAGCCCCAGGGGCGGGCTCAGGGCCGAGCGCAGCTTCTGCTGGTGGAAGCTCATGTGCTCCAGGAAGGGGCAGTCGCGGTTGCGCTCAAAGGCCCAGCACTCGGCCCACGTGCCCTTGTTGTGATGCCAGTGCTCCAGGTAGTACTGCAGGAAGGGCAGCGGGGCCAAGTCCTCCAGGTCGCTCAGGTACTGGCTGTAGACGCGGGGCGAGCTGGCGTTGGCCATGTTGTGCAGCAGGTTGCGCACCTTGTCCTCCTTGGGTACAGCCAGCTCGCGCGCCTTGCAGTACAGAGCCTCCAGCACCTGCAGCCGGCAGATCTGCACCCGGGCACAGGGCAGCACCTCCTCCACCGCGTCCACGTCCGTGATGCCTGCCCCCACCGTCAGGCACTTCACCTTCAGCTTGATGTCTGGCGCGCTCTGCACCAGCGAGGCCACGATGAAGATGACCAGGTCGGGCACGCCCCGGCGGGCCACGCAGTAGGCGCACTCACGGCCCCGCCCGTTGCTGTCCTGGCACAGCACCGAGTAGAGCTCGAACTCGCTGTTGACGCAGGCCGCCTTGTCCATATAGAGGCAGCGGGGGAAGCGCTGCACCAGCCCCCGCATGTGTGACGTGGCCAGGAAGATACTGTTGAGCACAGCTACGTCCTCCTGGAAGACCAGCTTGACCTTGGCACCTGGGTCGCTCTTGAAGAGGCCGTCCAGCTGGCTCAGCAGCTCGCACATGCCCTTGTCCTTAGCCTTGCTGTAGTCCTCCAGGTTCCAGATCAAGTCAGGCGCCAGAAACCGCTTGGACACGCTGTTGGTGATGCGAATGGGCAGCCCCATGCTGGCCTCCAGCTGGTGACGCTTGAAGTAGTGAGCAAACTCCACCTCTGACAGCTTGTGGTTGTGCTCCAGGCTGGCCTCGATCACCACCAGCCCCAGCCGCAGCGTGATGGAGGCGGGGCAGTCGATCTTCTCACTGCTGGGTAGGGGAAACAGAGGAGTCAGCGAGGGGGCAGCCTACAGGCTGGCAGAAGGGTTCCCTGCTGCTGCTAGGGATGTGAACAGCTCTGGCCGGCCGGCCACACTGGCCCTGTGCCCGACTCATCCCTTGACCTGGGGAGACTAAACAGAGAAGGGCCAGCCAGATGCTCCAGCTGCCACAGCGCTAGGAGAGGGGCTCAGGCTGCAAACTGTCACAACTAGGGCAGGCCAGGGAGCTCCATCACCAATACGTTTAACCCTGGGCATGGCCCAGCCTGGAGACTCCCTCACAGCAGCTGGAGCAGCCCCAAGTACAACTCAGCTGCAACGCCCAGCAATCCCCTGGCAAGGCTAATGGCAGCTCCCCCAGGCCCACACAGGGCCCCCTTGGCCACCAGAGCGGAAGGATCATGACAGGTCTCCAGCTGCGCCTAAGGGGAAGCAGAACACCATGCAGCTGCAGCATCAGGACTGCGAGGGAAAACATCTGCTGTCAGAACCTAAATGCTGCAGTGTGGACTTGGGGAGAGGGGGGTCTGTAGCGATTACGGTGGCCCAGCCAGCCCAGGGCCCCCACTCACAGCCGGTTGCGCTGCACAGTGCTCTGTCCCACATAGGTGCCACTGTGCTTGCAGATGAGGCGGACGAAGCGGAAGCGCAGGGTGGCGGCCAGGCTGGGCTGGTAGTGCAGCGGGTTCTGGCGGAGCGAGATCAGCGGCTTGAGGCTGGCGATGATGAACAGCACCTTGTGCTTCTCGCACCAGTCATCGAAGAAGCTGCTGAACTGATGCCACGTGTGGAACTCCTGGCCCAGGCCCAGATCCCCCATGGCCCTGCGGGCAGAGGGTGGGCGTGGGAAGCCACCGCCACTGCTGCAGGGGACACCGAGACAGCATCAGCTGGATGGGGGTGACAGACAGCTGCCTGCCCAATCTGGTCCCCTCCCACTCTCAGCCCCCACCTGCCATCCTCCATCTGTTGCAATGGGCCCAGCTCCCTCGATGCACCCTATGCCCCCCTAAGCAAAGGACCCCGACCTGGCCCGTGCAATGGACCCCACCCTCTCTCTGTGCAACAGGCCCAGCAGCCCCCTCTATTGCACCTCGTGCTCTCCCCCATGTAACAGAACCTGTCCCCCCTCCATGCAATGAAATGGACCACGCCCCCTCTCCGTGCAAAAACGGGCCCAGCTCCCCAATGCGCCCCATGTCCCCTCTCCCTGATCCCTCCCCAAGAAATGGACCTGCTCCCTCTCCATGCCCCCCCCCGTGCAATGGACCTGTCCCCTCTCCATGCCCCCCTGTGCAATGGACCTGTCCCCTCTCCATGCCCCCCGTGCAATGGACATGTCCCCTCTCCATGCCCCCCTGTGCAATGGACATGTCCCCTCTCCATGCCCCCCGTGCAATGGACATGTCCCCTCTCCATGCCCAATTATGAGAGTTTAT